ACATCATGACTGAGATTAATCCTACCATCCACAGCCCTTCCGAGCTCATCGAGGCGCTGTCTGAGGTCGTCATTATCCTGGACGGTCTGGACGCAAGGTGGGAAAGTACGATCTCCACCAGCTCGCCGGTGTCACTAATATCTTCTCTGAGATCTGCCCCACGCGCGCTGCGACGGTGGGAGGAGACGGTTGCAAAAGATGCTTCATCACTTTGTTCCATCTTGGAGGAGAGCCGGTCGTGGACAGAGACCCTTCGTCTCCCAATTCGGTCCATCACCGTACCAAAGTTATTGGGGTCTGCCTAGAACGATGAGACCATTGAGACCTAGCCGGAGGTGAATTCCTCTGACGCTGCGCAGATACGTCTTCCTCCCGTTGGGGCATGGATGTGACCCGACGTGGGGAAGGAGGTCTTTCGTTTGTGTGGGGTACAATTCCTTGAAAGGCGATTGTCAAGGCTTCCACGGCCCTCTGGAACGTCGCCAAACTAGCCAAGGCTTGTCCCAGATCCACACTCGGGATGAGATTCCCAGTGGCCGATGTCTGGAACTATGGCATTTATGCATTTTCAAGACAATATGTCGTCTATTAATGACACTTTATCACAAAGTGTCACTGACGAAGTGTCACTATAAGACAGTTTTCTACTAGTGCCTCAATCACGACTTGATCCATTCGAGCACCAACTTCATTGTTGCTAGCACGGTTGTGACTGTGTGATCCAACTATTGTCGTCGTAAATCGTTCTCTCAATGAGAGCACCAAATGTTGAAGTTTAATTCCAAGTACGAGTGCTAATCTACAAGAGCAGATGAAGTTTAGGCAGCGTAAGGCAGTATTATTTTTATTATTCCGTATTCTTGGTAGGATGTGTACAAGAAGTTTTTATAGACCTTAGGTTCTAGTATTCTAGGAGAAAATAGATACATTTATTGCAATTAATTACAATATAAAGTCCTATAACGCCTCGAACATTGTGCAATCATTTTTCCTCTAGGTCTAGGTTTCTTCTGTTATTTCCTACTGTTGCCAAATAATTATGTTCAAATGATAGCCTGTGACATAAGAGCTAGGAAGAGTCCGACCTCACTAGAACTCCGCCCAGGCTCGAGGTCTGTTGTCTAGCCTGATCTGGTTGTGGGTTAATGTCCTTTCACGGGTTGTATTCCTAATTAGGTCAATGGCTATTATTTATCATTAATCCTGATTAATGGGTTGATCCTATTGACATGCATATCTTGAGATGATTCTTGGGCCATGGTTGTGATCCATGGCACCAACAATACTAATATACACATACTTCACGTACATATGAGATTATACGGTAGAAGTAAACCCTAGGTCCTCTATTTACAACAGACTCTTCCAATGGTTTCAACATGAACAAAAAATTTCAATATATTACTCCTCCGTCCCAATTTGATGATACCATTGCGGTTTACGAAGTTTGACTGACGATAAAGCAAACAGATCCCTGTCCGCACTCAAATGATTTTAGAAAAAAAAAGATTACATATTCAGAAACTACATTAAAAATTTTACAAAGTCGCGAACACCTGGATTAAATTTGATTAAATGTAATACATAAAGTAAGAGTTTAAAAGTGATTTGTGTTAACTAATGGAGAGAGAAATGGTACCATCAAATTGGGACGGAGGGAGTATTTTTTTAAACCCGGTAGGCAAATCACCCATCGTTGGGCAAACGACGTGGACGTTTGCCGAATTTTATTATAATAAAGAATAAAGAATCAAAAGAAGAGGACGACTAGACTAAAACCTCTTCATAAGAAGCATACCTCTTTAAAAATACACACGAACAAACTACAAGTTAATTAAGGGGCTAGAATGGAGTATTAATAATTATCATGTTTCATATGAAGAGGGTATATATGCCAGTCCATTAGACTAAAACCTCTCCATAAGAGGCATACCTCTCTAAATGTTTTCATTACAAAATGGGACAAATGGAGTATTAATAATTATCATGTTACATATATGTGTGAATCTATTATGGGTTTATGTCTAAAATAGTACTAAAAAGAGCTATGGACAAAAATGGACCTTTTTTCTATTTTCCAAAAAAAGAGACTAAAAATGAGGAAAGGGTCAATTGAGTACATCAACTTGTATGAGGTGGAGTAAAGAGTACACTATATTGCATTTGATCTTTTTAAGTACACAAACTTGAATATTTAGTGTTAATTGAGTACACTCGTAAGATTAACATGTTAATATGACTGCGTTTGCTAACAGAATGCGGAGTAAGAAGAGATAATGAACCAAGGTTATGGCGCCAACCTTCGGAGTCGACCAAAAAGAGAAAATCAACCTTCGGAGGTCGACCTATGGGGGGTGGGGGCGTCATCCAGCGGGGTGCATTGACCAAGGGGAAGTCGACCTGCGGATGATTGACGTCGATCAAGGGGAAGTCAATCAATTAGCATTTTGTGAGTTTTTTCCACTTTTAGTCCTCCGACTATTATGTCATTGACATTTTTGGTACTCGACTTTGATTTTTTCCACTTTTAGTCCTTGACTATTGCGCTAGAGACACTTCTGGTACCCGTCTTTGAAAATTTCCATATTTAGTCCTTCAACTTTCATAAAAGTGACACATTTGGTCCTTCAACTATTATAATAGTTACTTTTTTAGTCCTTCACTTATTGTGTCAAATTTATAATGGAAGGACTAAAAGTGTCAATTTGACAATACTCAGGGACTAAATGTGAGAAACCTTGAAGTCAGGGACTAAAAGTGTCTCTAGCACAATAGTCAAGGACTAAAAATGGAACAATTAGAAGTCGAGTACCAAAAGTGTCATTGACATAATAGTCAAGGGACCAAAAATGGCAAAAACTCATCATTTTGTTAGCAAACTCAGTCGTATTAACGTGTTAATCTAATGGGTGTACTCAATTAACACTACAAAATCGAGTTTGTGTACTTAAATAGATCGAATGCAATATGATGTACTCTTTACTCCATCACAAACAAGTTGATATACTCAATTGACTTTTACCTCTAATGGATTAGGAGACTATTATACCCTTATATTAATAGAATCTCACCCATTAGTCCTACAGTAACGCTACAGTGACCAATAACATTATAGTGACCAAAATTCATCAGTGACCAAAAATCATTTGTAACCAAAAATCCAAAAATCCGTCAATAACCAAAATCATTAGTGACCGAAAATTCTACCTAATTACCAATATCAACCCGTCCAGTGACCAACATCCGCCAATCCAGTTACACCAACCCGATCATTACGTTCAGTTACAGTTACCCGACTTGTCCAGTTACAGTTACTCAATCATCCAGTTATAGTTACCCAATCATTTAGTTATAGTTACCCGATCCGTCCAGTTACAGTTACCTGACCCGTCCAGTTACAGTTACCTGACCCGTCCAGTTACAGTTACCCAACCCGAAGTCACCAACCCGATTAACGACCGCGAACAATCCGATCAGTGACCAACCTGATTAACGACTGCGACCAATCCGACCTGTTACCAAGACTAATCCGACCATCGCATCCCAGACCAGACAACCACCCCTGACCACCGCGTCCCAGACAACCACCCAGCCCGGTGACGTCCGTCGTAGCCTCCGCCGCCGCTGCCGTCATCGTCGCTGCCCAAGTACACCCTCTTTAGCCCCTGACCTGCACCATCCCCCTCCCCTGCACCAGCCTCCTTCCCGAGCACCTTTCGTTTCCCTTGAGCTCCAACCTTAGCCGCCGCCACCAGATCTGGATCTAGCTCGATGGTCGCCCGCCACCAACAGTCTTTAATCGCAACTCATAGCCGGCCATCGCGGATGCTCCAGTGCGACAAAGATGACAGATTTTCTCCATTCCAGAAAAGAAACGAGAAGAAGATAAGAGATCTGGCATTGCTCGATGACGGCTCACAGGAGACGGTGGCACAGTTACTCGGCGAGAGCGTGGCACCTTTGCTCGACGACGGTGGTGGCATAATTGTTGTGCGATGGACCATAGCGGAAGACTCGCTACGCGATGCTCGGTTGATTTGGTCCGCAGATGAGTCTAAATGGATGCTCTAGGTCTCTTTTTTGTCCATCAATTTATTGGTCCTATTTTTGTCCACTCAAAAGTCCCAAGTATTATTTTTGCCATTATTTCATGTATTATTGTATAAAAAATTGAACGGCCTAAATGGATGCATACCAGGGGGTGTTTGTCAGTTCATCTTCGCCGTTTTCGATTTTATCGGTTCGATATTATGTATGAATAGAATTTGTTGATTCGATATTATCCGTTCGTCATATCACTCCACACCACATTTCACATTGCAGTAGCTAGCTAGCTATAGATAGGCACAGACCAGGCCCGGACCTGACCGGGCTTTTTGGGAGATAATTAAGGCCCGGGCCTCGGACCAATTCCTATTTTTTTTTTTTGCTTTTCTAATTAACCCCCCCAAACCACCCCAAAACACCCAGCCCAACCCGTGAAAATAAAAAACAAATAAAAAAAAAAAAGCCTGAACCGGGCCCGGGTCGGCCGGGCCGGTTCCTAATTTGGGTGACCCGAGCCCGCCCAACTTATCCCCCGGGCCGGGCCTAACCGAACCGGTCTCTGGCGGGCCACCGAGCCGGGCCGGTTCCAAACAGTGCCGGTTCCGGGCCGGGCGGCCCGACCCGAGTCCACCACTAGCTATAGATCTACTCATCTAACCCTTCTATTGAAAGACTCACTCCTCACTCTTTCACACCATGACACTACTAATCTACGGACCAGTTTTCGAGCGAGAATACATTTATGCGAATAGTCAAATACTATACTACTATAGCTCTTAGAACGAAAGGAACGCGGATATAAAGATAGAACAAGGAGAAAACATTTACGAAGTATATTCCTAGAATCAATATCGATTCTTAATTCCACGACTTCGGTGTCTCATTAATTATTGTTGGTCACCAATTAAGAAAAAATAACTTATAGTGCACCAATTAATTTGAGAGAGAATTCTCTAAATAGGAGTAAAAATGTTTTTTATTCCCTTAATAAGAGTAAATTTCTGCCCTTTAGAATAACAAGGGCTTTGAACATGATGTCCTTTAGAGCATACATCTCATAATATAATCATTCATTTTAACTTTCGCTGGGAAATGCAGACAAAAGACCAAAAGGTATATGATCATGAGTCTATACATGCACCAAAGTCATTTGACCAAAATTGATATTTACTCTTTTGTATAATGCACACCACTCGAGTAAATATATAGAGCATGTCAAGTCGTCAACGTGCTCACTACAGAGCACATTGGCATGATAAACGGTTCAAATTCACTCATCTAAAAATGTGAGAGAATCCGAGCCATTTATCATGCCAATGTACGTGGTCCGTAGTGAATAGGTTAAGTGCTCCATATATATTTCGCACACCACTTGGACATCAAAGCAATAAATCTATTAACCAGCGAGATCAAACATTTACGGCCACCGGCCTGGAGGAGGTAAAGTACGATGCCTTCTTAGCCATCTGAAATACTCGACAAGAATGGAACTTCCACCCATTACCACACCAAAGCCTGCAAATATTGAGAGAAGAATCGAAAGAACTGCTTGCACATGAACCTGCATGCATGCACGTACGTGCGTTCGAATAAACATCCAAAAGTCCTAATTAATCATCAATAATCTTGCATTCTTACCTCAAATAAGGATAGTTTGATTATATATGAATCCAAAAGAGATGAGTAGTATAATGTTTACCAGAGAATAGAAAATGTGTGCAAATAGCACCACGAATGCAAATTGGACTGATGCGTACACCCATACAAATCTTTTCAATACTGCATGTCATAATAATAATATTAATATGTTTAATATGTTTTGCCTTATGGTTAGTGTGACAGAAAGTAAAGAAAATTGAAATTGCCCTGGATAGAAGTAAAAATGTTTTGAAATTCCATAAATAAGAATAATTTCTGCAAATCTTGGGAAAAACTTGGTTGAAACTGTCATGTTAAAAGCCATATAATGCCAAACTTAGCAGAAATTACACCTATTTAGGAATAAAAACATGAGTCCTATTTTGGAATTTAAAACTTCTTGACTCCTATTTAGGGAATTTTCTCTATAGAAAATGATGATATGATCAATCCAACTACAGAGTTTCAAACTAACAACATACCCATTGTTGAAGATGTCATAGACCCAAGGAGGCCAAGTACACAAGAGAAGGGCAGTGATATAGCAATTGCCCCAGTACCCATCTTCCCAACCTGCACAAACATACATATTAATTACTAACATAGACCGAACAAAATGACAAAGTTACACACTAATACGGAGGATTATATAATGCTGATGTATATGTTCTGTAAATAAAATTTTGTTAATCTTACCAGCAGTTGTTCAAGAAAACAAAAGTATGCAAGCATGTTTACAATGACAAGAATGGGCACTTCTTGTGAGACCCTGTGATCAAAGAGACAAAATTTATTTCTTTTTTGATGTACCCAAAAAAGTCCCAACAAATATTGGATTTCTGACATAAGAAAAATGGGGGAATTGAATATGTACTTTTGGTTTGGTAACAATAAAAGTTTGGCAAAACTAGTCCTATTAATTTTACTAACAAGTTATTCTATTTCTTTCAAAAATTTGGTATAAATACTCCAATCAGAAAGTAGGAGAAGAGACTTGCCTGTGTCCATTTATTTCCATTTCAGTGAGCATAGTTGCAACAGAAATTGGGTTTCTAACGCTTTGAATACGGAGTAGAGTGACAGGGAGATTGCGGACGTCCTGTTTGCAGACATCACAGGTTTTATTTCCTTTGATACTGAACCATGTAATGGCGCATTCTTTGTGAGCCAGCGCCATTTCACCTTTGCAGCTGCATTCCATCTTCAGCGTCTCGCCCCCTTCGCACAATTCGACTAAGCAGATTCGACAAACCGCCTCTTCTTCGCCTATGTCCTCGCCGCCATCCTCATTCGCTTCTGCTGTATAAATAAATAATCAAGTGTTCAGATCAATTATCAAAAGGTTATTAGCATACACTTCACTTCTAATGGACTGGCTATGTTGTGTTTTTTGATCAGATATAACTGTCATAAGCTATGATTTAGGATCTTTTTCCCTTTAGGAAGGTGAGTTTATAAGTTTAGAGAGGGAAAATTCAAATATTTTACAAAATTTAAGCCCAATATTACATTTTTACTCTATTCTAAAATCAGTCTAAATCAACATTGTTTAATATGTTTGTGGTTTTAAAGTTAAATGAAATACAGATCAAGAGTAACATATAACATGCTTTCACTTGAATTGAAAATTTTGGATCTGATATGAGCTATGGTCTGTTTGAGTGATTGGGATGACTTGCTCTCGTACAAGTCTCATATATGTGTATTTTATTAAGTATGCTTTGATGTGTTTGAATCTGATTTGGTTTGCTTTCTGATCTAAGGAATGAAAATCAGATCACATAAAAACATGCTATGTGGTGAAATGGTGAATAGTTGAACAACTAATGTTTGGAAAAAGTGAAAATTCATCTTGATTCTATTTGCAAAAAAGATTCACATATAAGTTTTTAAATTTAGATTTCGTTTATGGACAAGACTCTGACATCTTATATCTAAAAATAGAAGAATCTATTGTTAGTTTCTTGACTTCTTCTAGCATCTTACCTCGTGAATATTTCAGATTTCTTAATATATTTTTCAGTCCCGCTTCATGTACACGCCGATCAAATTGTTTGTGCAGAGACAATTTGACAGACGTTTTATAAAGAAAATCGATTTCGAAACATACAATTTTTTTATGTGTCACAGACAATTTAAATTGTCTGTACACAGATAATTAAATTGTATACAGACAATTATTTGTACATAGACAATAGAAATCCATTTTCTTTATAAAATGTCGGTCAAATTGTCTGTATACTGATAATTTAACCGAAATGTTACGTGTACAGACTGCCATGTAGAGAGAGTATTTTTGTGTATCTTTTGTCAATTGAACCTTTTGCATTCAAAAGTACATCTGTCCTTGTCATTACTGTTAATGTAAACTTAAGCAATGTAGTACTCATTTCCTCATTCATACTACGTATGATGACAAAACCAAATACTCAGTATATGTATTTCTTCTCTCTCCCAAATGTCAACCAAATACTTCGTATATGTATTCCTTCCTCACCCAAATGAGTAAATCATATTAGCCGTTCTTGTTGTCAACACTCTAGTGTAAAACAAAGTTAGTTATTTATACTGTTTTTTATTCCTTCAAATGTTAAAGTTAATTGACATATCTTCATAATTGATGGGACGAGAAAGTAGAAACTTACACCACATTTTTAAAGTTTTATATCGAGTATTTATTCATATTTATTCATGAAAAAATGACAATGTATATTATCAATATAGTTTTCCCAGAAACATATATGACTAGTTATGTTTTTGAAAAAATATTACTAGTCGCTATGAACGACTAATTGGACAAGAGTTATTGTAAGAAAAGATTGTCACCAAGGTAAGTATTTCAGAGTATCAAGTCACTTGTAAATGATGAGTCGCTGGGAACTAGTCACTCAATATATCACTTTATTGGAAAATTTTAAAATAAGTCATATTTTTGTCTTTTGAGTTTAATTTATTAATATTCTAAGAAAAGATCTTCATTATTTTGTCGATGTTTGAAATACTTTAATATCCTTCCTCACGATCAAATACTTCGTTGATTTTCATACTTGTCATTTTTTCAAAAAAGGTGTGCACCATGGTTGCAGATCGGTTTAATTGACTATGATACCATGTCAAGATTTGGTGTTCGATCTTAAAGGAAGAACTTAATAGAATGAGTGATCTGATTCCATTATATTGTACTTTATTAGTTCATATTTTATGAGACAATTCTCTAAACAGGAGTAAAAAAGTTTTGAAATTTCAAAATAGGAGTATCATGTTTTTTTATTCCTGAATAGGAGTAAAGTTTTGACAAGTTTTGCATTACTAGGCTTTAAACATGTAATTTTTTCCAAACTTGGCAGAATTACTCCTATTTGGGGAATAAAAACTTGGCAGAAAGTCCTACTTTGGAATTTCAAAACATTTTTACTCCTATTTAGGGCAATTTCTAATATTTTATTGGTGTGAAAAATATTTTAGGGAAATTGCCCAAAATATGAGTAAAAACGTTCCGGATTTCTAAAATAGGACTACTATGTTTTTTGCTTTTGGTCCTACGAGTTTTGTGCCAATTCCACCTTTAGTCCACGTCTTTCGCTTTGTCCACTTTTGGTACTTGACTAGTGTTTTTTAACCATTTGTGGTCCTTTTCCGTCGATTTTAACCATCAGAAACAATGGCGGAAGGACCATATACGGGCGAAAACTCAATAGTCATGTATCAAAAGTGGACAAAGTGAAAGATGTGGACTAAATGTGAAATTCACCTAAAACTCGCGGGACCAAAAGTAGAATTTATTCATGTTTTTATTTCCACAATAAGAGTAATTACTGTCATGATTGAAAAATACTATCATTAATGGTAGGGATATGAAAATGTCTAGTACAACACCTATTTTGGAAGAAGAGAATCTAATACTGTCATGTTACTTCTGTTTCGAGATAGAAAAATATACTTCGTAATAGTCTTATGGGTTTTTTTACAAGAATATTACTAAAATAAAATTTATTTACATAAATATGACTATTCATTACTACAACGTAGTGTTGTGGTAATTTAAGTTCAAAACTTGAACATGAATTACTATGATTTCATTACTACTCTAGTAACTAGTCATACTTTTGTAAACCATCTTTATTTTGGTCATATTTATGTAATTATTTCTCGTCTTATCTTAGAATTCTCAAACATTTTTATTCCTATTTCGAGACCTTTCCCAATAGCAAAGTTATCGAAATAAAAGTAAACAAGTTTCAGAAATCCAAAATATGATTGTTATGTTTTTTTTTCGAAATAGAGAATACTAACTGTCATCTTGGAGTCATTACCGTCAATATAGATACAATACTAGCATTAACATAAAATTATCTATTGGCAATAATGACAATACTTTCAATAATAATAGAAGTAACAACTAACATTTGGTAAAGAAAAATATTGCAATCATATTTTAAAATTACAAAACTTTTTTTGTTCCCAATATTTTAAGAAAACTAAATAGGATGAATTACCAGAATCTCCCGCCGGAACAGTGGATGGAGCAATGGAATCTGGTTCCTTCAAACAAGGCGTTGATGGAATGACCCGAAAGAAAGCTTCCCCTTTGCGGTTGCTTCCTTCTTTATTCACCACCGGGAGAGAAATCGAACGGTGTATATGCACTTGCTGTGTTCCTTTCGAAGAAGTCGGAGAAGCACTGATGGCGGCCGCCGCCACACCATTACTATTACCACCCATCACAACACCTCCCCCACCGGACATCAATTTCCCATTCTTAGAAATGGGTAAAGAGGACGTCCTCCTTATTCCCGGCGCAAACATTTTCGACAGAGACCAAGATCTCGAAATGGAGACCCCCTTATTCTCTTCTTGACCCGATTCATTTTCTGGGCTTGGCTTCTCCATTTCCAAGTGATTAGAGCCACTGTTATTGGACATGAAGTTGAGTTTGGGCAGTAAGTTCCGTTTGGATGATGAAGATGATTTGCTGACTCTTGGAGGTAATTGGCCTGGAGATCCATGAACCTTCTTATCAGAAGGATTCGGATTCAAATGGAAATTAACTTTCTTTCCAGTTTGGGTAGGCGTCAAACGCGTCCTAATTTGTTCGCTCCCTTCATATGAACTCTGCTGAGTATATTTTGGAGGTATTTCCAGAGAAATGTCTGGTTTCTTTCCACTTTTAGCTTGTGTTATTTCTCCTGTTTTTCCTCCAGAGGAACTCTGGCCCTGTATATAGACCAAGAACATATTAAAGCTAGAGTATGGATCTTAACTCCAAAATCATAGAGAACCTCCATTGTGTAAACTTCAAAAATCTAAACTCATAGATTAAGGGAATGTTTGGATCTGTATCTTAAAACTGTTTTTGGTGCTTCAAGAAACAGAAGCTTGGGGTGTTTCGGTGAAAGTACAGAAATACTTCTGGTCACTCCAAAATGCTTCTAGAAGTAGTTTTTTTAGAAATTGGGGAAGATCAACTTCTAGAAAACTGATTTTGATTCTAATTCTCCTTGAAAAAAGAAACAGAAGCAGAATCAATTACAAACACTCCCTAAATATATACCAAATTCAAAATCAAGGGATTTGGTAAAATATACTCTTATAAGTTGTTAAATTATCTGTTTCTAGAAATGTAATTAAAGCCATATAATCATGATAATATAATCATAAAAAAAATTGTAGTATGATTTTCAAATTTAAACAGCATCATGAGAAAATTCACTACGAGAAATTGTTAAGTTATCCGGAAATAAGGCAAATATAAAAACATAAACTCATATACAGGCTAATTAAATACAATACATGTTAACACACCTGATATTAGCTAAAATAAAAATATGAACACAAAATTGAATAATAAGGGAAGTGTGGGTGGTATGACCTTAGGGATTGAAATGACTGATTCTGCTTTATCCATCTGCAATACTTCTTCCTCATTACTCAAGAAAGACTGTTTCTTGTCCATGTTCATGATACTAGAGCTAGCTGATGGAAGAAGATGATGATTAATTAAAGCTAAGGGTGTAGTTAATTGTCCTATAAACTCTTATTACAAAAAGAACAATATGGGAAATGTTGAGATTGGTGAAAGAGAAGAGAGCAGAGCAGCTTTGATTAATTTGCTTTGAACAAACACCATTGGAATTGGTTGAAATGGTTTGGTATGGTCGTACCGGACTAAATATGTTCCAAATGAACTGTAAAGCTACCCGCATGATATGTGTGATTTACTTTTTCTTTCTAACCCCAAACTTAATGGTCCCATTTGTTTTCTCCCATAATAATTTTCATAGAGGGACTAAATGACGCCACTCTATTCAACTCAAGCTTTAGGATTATTACTCTCTAGATGTGCTTTGAAACTTCGGGACACGCTTAAGTAGACGGTGTTTTCGAAAACTTGAAAAAAATGATCTTCAGCTTTTACTTTTAAAAAGTTGAAATTTGACATTTTCAAGTGAAAACTTTACTTAAATTAAGCTTTTTAAAGCTAACACCGTGACAAACTCATGAAATACATCTAGTTTGGCTCAAATTCACGAGTTTTGAGCATAATGCTTTTTGGAAGATCTCAATACCATGACTTATTTCACAAAGTCGGAAAGTAACTTAAATAAAGTTTGGATCATGGCAATCTCATTTTGACTAAAAAGTTGTAGAGTTGGTGTGAAATTATGTCTGATTTCATTTGAACAATCTCATAAGATTGTAGTATAATGTTTGCCTGATATAAGCTAGTCTAAAACTATTAAGTGCATGTTTGGTACTTTGGTAGGCATAAGTCTTTACCTTCTAATTTTTGTACTACATAAAAAGTTTTAAAAAACTTCTGGTTGTGTGTTTGACATGATAATTTATAAGAGCTTTTGTAAACATAAATACTCCGTATCTTTTTTTTTGAGATGTTACATTGAGTGACATCCGAAAAAAATCTTCAACTTTTAACATCAATTAGTCTCAACAGCTTGTATACCAAATAAGACTAAATCAAACAGTTAACTTTTCATCAAACAGCTATCAACGTTTTCTTTTAAGACCATATCAGTCACTAAAAACTAACAGTTACGTTATTAAAGAGCTAATAAAAGTATCTTTTCAACTCGTTGTGTCAAATATACTTTAAGTGAATGTGTCAAACATACCTTAAGGCTGGCTTGATATGAGTTAGTCTAGAACTGATAAGTGAAATGTTGGTATGTTATTAAAAAAGAATTTAACTGAAATCATAATCCTTAATAAGTGTTTGAATAAGGATTAAGGAGTTATGTGTACTAGAATTTCAATTCTTCCGAATGTACAAAGTGTTGATTTCATTTCTTGGAGAATGATATTTTTTATTTGGTGAATGAATGAGATATTGCATGCAACCCATGCTATTTAGTTTAAGATTTACTAGCTTAGCCCTTTGTTCTTGACATTTGTCTGGAGAAAATATTATCTTTACCCATGCTATTTATATTAGTTTAAGATTTACTAGCTTAGCCCTTTGTTCTTGACATATGTCTGGAGAAAATATTAACTTTTGTATCGTTAATCTATGAGATAAGGGTCAGATAGGGTCTCGAACTTGAAAAAAAATGTCAAATAAGACCATATTTAGGATGCTCTGTCCGGCTGACGCCATTTGGGGTGGTTCCCGGTAGAATTTTTTGATGAAATTTTTTGAGAATCTTATTCATTAAGTCTAGTTTACTCATATCAAATTTGAAGTAAAACTTTAATCGGGAAGGCATTCAAATGAATTCTTGAAGATAACTGTACCGTTAAAAGCGCAGTTATCTTCATGAATTCATTTGAATGTCTTCCCGATTGAATTGTTAGTTCAAATTTGATATGAGTAAACTAGACTTAATGAATAAGATTCTCAAAAAATTTCATCAAAAAATTCCACCGGGAATCACCCCAAATGGCGTCGGCCGGACAGAGCATCCTAAATATGGCCTTATTTGACATTTTTTTTCAAGTTCGAGGCCCTATCTGACCCTTATCCCTTAATCTATCTATGTTTGTTAGCTTTAAAGCAAAAAGTAAACAACGCTTCTCGACACATTAAACTTTGGGAGTTTGTTAATCATACCGTCAATTAAATTCGTACCGTCAATTAAATTCGTGTTACTCTTTGATTATAAGTAAAAAAAATACCAAATTGAAATTCTTATTGTCGCCTTCAATGGAAATTTTAATTATTATAAGTGTTTGATGGTAAAGTATCGTAATTAAATTCGTAATCACAAAGTTTAATGAGACAAAATAATACGAACTCTAGCCTTTGTTATTTGGAATTTTATGTGATCCGAAAGATAGACGAATTATCAATTCGGAACCTGTAAGATGAAATGTATCGATATAGGACCCGAATGATGGAAAGCTATCAATTTAGGACCTGAATGATTGAAAATTATCAATCTAGAACTTAAGTTGTCATGAATTTTATTAATTTTTTGTTTTAAATTTTTTAAATATTATTTAGTTTTATTAAACTAATAAACTTTTGTAAAGAAAAGTTTATCAAAAATTAGCAATGAAATTAATAGAAAATTAAATAAATCAAACCCTATGAAATGTTTTTTTTAAAGAACATTTCATCTTTTTGATAGATTGATAGTTTTCCATCATCCGAGTCCTATATCGATACATTTCATCTTTCAGGTCCCAAATTGAATTGATAAAATTTCTAGATTGGAACCATATCCATCCATTTAGCTGTAAATAAATATAGCCATTATCAATGTATGCACGGGCAAAGAAAATTCTCTTCACTAATATTTCTCATTATCTTTTTACATGATTTCTTTAAACAACACAATCATAGGATAGACATTTTTATAAGATATGAGCAAACATGTGACCAACATGTTAATGAATCTTATGATGAGTATCTCATTATTGTCATTGAATATAGAATTGGACATGCATCATAATGATTAGAGAAATTTACGGATTTCAAAATAGCATTAATATATTTTTATTTTCTAAATATAAGTTATTACTACCAAGTACCTTGTGGTCTGATGACATCACTGTGGCACTCCCAAGGAGAAGGTCACAGTTCGAATCTCATCCCAGTTCAAGGGTATTGGCATTAACATTGAGCAGATATTATATAGGTTAGAAAGAATTGTCCAAAAAAAATACTTCGTATAAGTTATTACTGTCAACCTTAGAATATACTGTCATATTTAAAGTATAAAGTAGGGGTGAGTTCGGTTCTCGCGGTTCGGTTTTGACCTTAAACCAAATATAGAATCAAAGTAAAAAGTTCGGTTCGGTTTCGGTTCGGTTTTACACTCCAAAACTTGGAACCACGGTTTGATTGGTTCGGTTTGTTTCGGTTCGGTTTCGGTTTTTCGGTTTTTTACCAAAAAAATTCCCACTTGATTTAAAATTGATATAACACTTATAGGGATCAAACATATTACACAAAGAATGCAAGCACAATACAACAACAAATAAAATAAAAAATGAGAAGAGATAAATATGTCTTGAATTATATGAGTATGCGAGATAGATAAAACTGTATATATTATTGATTTAATTTGTTAGAGAGTAGTTCGAAAAAAGTTCATGAATCTTTATTGTTTTATCAATATAAAATCTTTAAGTTATCTAAAAATAAAAGTTAATTACTACTAATAACTAGTAAACACAAATTATCATCATTCAATATAGCTACATTATTACAGAAAATGAATGTGTAAATTAATTCATAAGCTAAATTAAATTAAACATATCACAAACATTATTTCTCTAACATAAGAAAACCAAAGTCTATTGATGATATTAAGATTAATTAGAATTAATGCTTAACAATTAACATATAAATTTCATATTTTAAATAGTTCGGTTTGTTCGGTTCGGTTCGGTTTTGAAGGGTAAATACAGAAACCGAACCAAACAATTTCGGTTCGGTTCGGTTTTTTACATTCGGTTTCGGTTTCTTAGCGGTTCGGTTTTATTTGGTTGCGGCTCGGTTTAATTTGATTCGGTTTTCGGTTTTCGTTTTTTCGGACCTAGCCCTAGTATAAAGCATTTTCCCCTAATTATTAAACTATTTTCATGTTGGCCGAGTAGTAAAAATCATATTTTGTTCATCAACTCTATTTAAATATATATTGAACATCAATATTTCGTTATTCGTCGTAAGAAATGCAGCTTTGTGATGATCAAACAAAATATTAAAAATGGCGAAGAAGATTTGGTCCGGAATAACTGCTTTTTTACAAAAACGAATGTTTACAAATTACAATCATTTCGAGGAGTCTTTTTAGTTGAAAACAATGCTTAGTTAGTTGAAAGAGTAATCATATAGTATCATCATTGTGTGGTTTTGAAATCAGTCAACGGCGTAATAAATTGGACACCATTAATTAGAAGCCTGGATTTCGTCCGTAGAATCAGATGTTTTACCATACGACACCCTACATAATGCATCATAGCAATTTGCTCGTCTAATATTTATCCAAATGTCATCTTATCTAATGAAGTTTGATATGGACTATTTAACTATAATAGATTGATTCAATCTTCCAAAAAAAAGACTGATTCAATTGAATAAACGGAATTTTTGAAATCCTATATTAAAAGGCACAATTGTCTAAACTTATTGAGTCATGAAGAAAAGTATTTTATGAATGAATTAAAGAAAAACTGGGAAAACTAAAATCATTCTATTTACCAAGTTCAGCTAGTAACTACTTAAGTCTTGCTTCTTGTGCTTATACGCATTTGAACGTGTAAAATTAAAAATTAAGAGATTGATTAAGAAATTAGATGATAAAATGTTAAGGGATAAAGTTAGACTACCAAACATGCTCTACACTAACTTTTCAAATTTACCATTTTTTGTTTTGTTTTTTAAGTGAAAAAATCACCTATATAATATCAAAGTAATCATAAAATGTACATCATGTAGAAATTTACTTCTCACTCCCTTGTTAAACTCATGATTCCAAGAAAAAGACCATTCTTAAAAGAACAAAATTGCTATGGGTACCTCAAATGGTACCTCATTCATACCCCATATAAAAACCCTTTCCCATTTTTAACTCACTCCCTTTTCCATTTAAAAAATTTACCCCCAACTCTCTTCTTCCTTCCAAAACTCCACACCAGCCCTCTACCAACTCTCTCCACTCTCCTGCGACAACACCCTCCCCTCTTTCTCACTGTGACAACACCGGCCAACACTCCCCTGCGACAACACCCTCCGCGACAACACCGGCCAACACTCCTACCGTCTCACCCTCCCCTCTTTTTTTTGTGTTTCGAACGGAGAGCTACAGTGCTAGGGCGAAAGGAGGTCATCCATGGACACCATTTACAACCCTCTTCAATGGAG